AAGTTTTCTAGATTCCTGCTATGAGTGAGACCATCCGGTATTTTTCTTTTTCTTTTTGGCTTATTTCGCTGAGCATGATCCCTTCCAGTGCCATCCATGTTGCTGCAAATTGCATGTGTTTATCTTTTTTGAATGCTGAGTAATATTCCATGGTATATATGTACCACATCTTCTTGATCCAGTCATCTATTTTTGGGCATTTGGGTTGTTTCCAAAGCTTAGCTATTGTAAACAGTGCTGCTATAAACATAGGAGTGCAGGTGCTCTTTGGAATTGATGTTTCTGTGTCCTTTGGGTAAATACCTAGGAGTGGAATTGCTGGATCATATGGAAGCTCTATGTTTAGTAGGTCCAGAAATCTCCACACAGCTCTCCATAGTGGTTGGACCAGTTTGCACTCCCACCAACAGTGCACAAGAGTTCCTTTTTCTCCACATCCTCGCCAACATTTGTTGTTGCTAGTTTTTTTAATATGTGCCATTCTCACTGGTGTGAGATGGTATCTCATGGTAGTTTTGATTTGCATTTCCCTGATTACAAGTGATGTTGAACATTTTTTCATATGTCTGTTGGCCATTTGCATTTCCTCTTCAGAGAAGTTTCTTTTTAGCTCTTCTGCCCATTTTTTGACTGGATTATTTTGCAAGAATCAGTCTTGAGCAATCAAAAGGCTGGTGTGGAGGGAATATGGTGGGCAAGAAAGTGGGACACAGTGAGGTAGGGCCAGTAAGCCAGGTTCTGGGGCTTTGTAGGCTCTGAGAAAGAGTTTGGATTTTGTTTAAGTCATTGTCTAGCTGTTGCTCAGTGGACAGCACTTAAAACTAAGATGTCCTAGATTCAGTTATGGACAGGTAAGTTGCTTTTCTTGCTTGGTGTACCTTGGAATGTTGATTGGGAAAATGAAATGATGTCTATAATAAATACTTCTTCCATACTTATATCATCTTCAGTATTTGTCCACTCTTCTGAATGTGTGTATTATCACTTAGTATATGCTAAGTTCTGGTTGTGCATCATTCATACTTTGTTTCTTCCAACTAGATTATTATTCCTTTGGGAACAAAGATTTTTCTGTCTTTAGGACCAGCACAAAAAATCCCACACATATTAGGCACTAAAGTGTTTTCAAATTTATTTTAAACAAATTCGTTTAAAAAAAAACTACTGTTTTTTTAAAGAATTTTTTTACAAGTAATTCACCTACTTTTATGTATGTTTGAAGTTTTCTATGATAACAAATGAAAAACAAAGTGGGCTATAAAAAGAAAGTAGAGTGGTAGGAGTACGGAGTTGAAAACCTTTGGTCTCTTATAGGGAGAGCATAGTTGCTGTTTTGATACTGCTAAAATTGCCTTTCCAAGTGGCTTTGCATATTTCCACTTCCACTGGCAACATCTATTTCCTAATTCCTGGCCAGTGTTTGATACTGTCAGACTTTTTAACTTCTGCAAATCTGATTTTTGAAAATTATATTTGGTTTTGCATTTCCCTGATTACTGTAAGAATGAACATTATTTCATATATTTATATGCCATTTACATTTCTTGGCTCAGTTTCTGTCTGTCCTTTGTCATTTTTTCTTAGTGAGTAGTCTTACTGATTGCAGGAACACTTTATATATTCTCTTTTTTATCAAATTTTATTGATTTGCTTTTTGTTAGTTTATATATTTTTTAAGGTAACCCTTAGTTATATATATCACAAATATTTTGTCCCAGTCTCTTTTTTATCTTTTACCTTTTATTAGCTTGCCTTTTGCATGTAACAGTAATTGCCATTCTTCTATTTCAGTGTAGTCAGTACTTTTGATAATAGTGTGTCCCATGTATATCCCAAGATTGTTTTTCTGAAATGATCTTTTAGAATTCCTTGTGTGGTCTGCAGCAGTCATTTCTATTGTCTCTTTCTAACAGACCCTTTTGTTCTTTGTATTTTCTAGTTATTTTATAAATAACGTACCAAAAAGTTCTAAAAGGATAGTAAAAAACTGCTTTATTTGAAATTTTAATCTCATTTGAATATCACAACCCCAATTTTTTACTCGGTTCTCCTGGTTTTGAGCACATGAATGTGATGTATACATTCACACATGCCTGAGTCCAGATTTCAGATATAAATATGTCCGGTAGCTTCTAGTTTATCATTACTGCTGGCTCTCCTTGCACTTGCTTCATCAAATGCAAAACTCGAAGAATTTTTTGAAAACTTCTTTGTCTCATAAATTTGTACGAGATCAGTTATCTCTTTGGTCCATAAGTCAAACATTGATCTTCGCAAGGTCATAAGCAATGAGAATGCCCAAACCACTGAATTTAAAAATTTTTTTCATCACTATGGCCTTCCAACACCTTTGTATACGAACCTGCCTGCAATATTCATTCACTTATGAACTTTACCAAATCAAATTTGGCATACAGATTTACAAAAAAATGAAAGAATATGATCATATGCCCCATTAGCATAACAGTATGGGCCAAGTTCTTGTTGTAAAACATTGCATATGATTAAGTCCTTCCTGTTGAATGACTAACTGGATGAAAATACCTTATTTCCTTTTTGTTCTTGAAATACATTGTTCACTAGCCAATTCTTGAATTTGAGAAAATCCTTGTCATATTTTTTTTCATCTAAAGATCCATAGTCTAAATTTTGCTTGCGATCAGTTTCACCATCTTCATTGCAGTGTGGAGTGCTGCTATTTGTCTTTTTGCGTTCATCTCAGACATCTAGTTGTGAAATGTCTTCCTGTGTCAAGTTTTCTTCTCGTTGCCTTTATGGACAGAAAAACTTAACACTCTGAATTCTCAATTGTGTTCAGTGAAAACTAAAAGCAGAACCCAAAGATAATGTTGCCAGTCTTTTATACCTTATTGAAAGATGATGCAATACTTTGGACGATGAAATAAGAAAAAAGGATAATGCAATAGTGTTGGTTTATTTCACTTTTGCATCATCCTTTTCAGTGATTTAATTATTCTTCCTTTTTTCTTATTAGTCTTTTTTTCTAAAACGTAGTTGTAAATAAGCCAAGATACAGAAAAAAATAAGACCACTAAGTACCTTACACGTACAAATGATTGCAATGGACCATAGTTACACGATACAATAAGTTTTATTGTATTTTTAAGAATAAGCATAATTTCTCTTTGTTCTTTGCAAGACTCTGGGGTGGGGGAAAGGAAATTAAGAAACAACAGCCTCCCAAATAGTAAGGAATTGTCCAAGAAAGAAAAAAACTAGAATTGGCATCCAGTAGACCTAAAGTTATACCAAGGACTGAGCTGACTAGAAATAACTACTACTGTATTAATGAAACTTTTATTGTGGAATGAGCTGGAATGGAAACAATCCTTAATTAGTTTTAGCTATTCTTTACTACATTTATGTCTTTCTGTCCAGACCTTCCCCTTATCTGTGCAGCTTGGACAGAAAGGCTAGCTTAACTTCTTTTTGACTAAGGTAGGTGCTTTCTCCTTATGTTCATTTTGTTTGCAGAAGCCCCACTTTATCTTGCAACCTCTTTTCTCTGTCAAAGCCCTTGAACTGTTGGCTATTGAAGTGAAGTGCATCTCTGATGATCACAGAGCCCTGCCAGCGTCCCAGTTGGGAAGAATCTTTGAGAGGTGTGTATGCCAAGCACGATATCATTGTGTGCAGGCATTGCAGGAGTCTGCCAAGCCTAGGGGTAGGCTGCCAGTACAAATGCCACGTTGACATGACATTTACAAGCTTAGGACTGGCAGTGGAACACCCTTCAGCTACTTCATTTAGGATGGCAGTAACCGGGCCAATTTTTCATTTTCAAACTCAGAAATCACAATCAGTAAGTAATACTTCATATGGAATTTGAAACTATCACTGCTGCTTTTTCTAAGAGGTGATGAATCCTGTTAGCCTGTTCCTGGGGTGCAGGATAAATCATAATGGTTAAGAATGCAGACTGTGGGGTGAAATCTGGATTTGATTGAGGGCTCTATCACTTAATGTGTGACCCTGAGCCCACTTACTGAATCAACTTTAAGTCTCAATTTTCCATCTACAAAATAGGGAAAATACCTTTCCCCCATCCACTATTGGATGGATTAAATATATTTAAAAGTGTAAGTACTTTTCCCAGTGCCTACCCAATGGTACATGTTCAATAAATGTGTGTTTTTCACATTCTTCGCAAGGTCATGAGAATTCAGGCTTTCAGCTGTTCTTGTATTTCAGTAATGAGAGGATATCTTATAACCTGCCAGGGTCGTGTCACAACATGAGCTTGTGTGCAGACTCTCTCTTTGACTTAGGCATTGCTGGAACAGTTTTCTTCACCTCTCCAGGAACACTTAGAGCTGGAGTCAGGGTCATTTGAGCATTTAACATCTCTGTAGTTTCTTAGAGACAGAAACCATTTGGGTGTTATGAATTCATTTCCATAATAGCATTCTATCCCTTGAACTGGATCTTTTCTGTGGCGTATTCTAATGCAAAGCAAAGACCTAGAGCTATTCTGAAGGACATGCTGTGGCTTCTTGGGGAAGCCACACCACATCTTGTTGGTGTGAGCAACAAGGTACTTGGTCTTAATTTTTTTATGATGTCCTAGTAATAACAGATTTTAATGTTCTACTTTTGGAAAATATGGTTCTCAGTTTATTTCCTTTCATCATTATTTATTTATTTATTTATTTTAGAACTGGGGTGTAGGCCAGAGGTGTGGGAGCTGTGAAAGGATCACCAGAGTGGGGAGCAGAACCGGAAGATATACTGAAATACACTGCTGAGGGGAGCAGTGGGCGAGAGAGGCGATGTCTGCAGTGCCATGTGGGTCAGCTCCCTGGCTGGGGATTGAATCCTGCTGCAGTGGCTGGTGATAGCTTGATAGTGCTGAGACTTTAACCCCTGTGATACCAGGGAGGCCCTCCTTTAGTCACTTTTAATACCAATGGCAAATGCTCTCAAGTATCAATTTGTATTTTGGGGTTTTTGTTTTGTTTTTTTTTGCCTTTGTTTTTCAGATCTTCAAAGCTGCTGCGGGCATTCTACGTGCCCTTCCTGTCAGATCAATATACAGTGTACGCAAACTACACCATCCTCAAACCTCGGAAAGCAAAGCAACTCAGGAAGAAAAGTGGAGGTTAGCAGCACGCCTGTGGCCCCAAAAGACAACCATCCCGTTCACTAGTGATTCGAAGGACCTGGCTCCTTCCAGGTCATCACTTGTAACGCTTGTAATAAAGACCTTCTGACACAAGTACTGGAATCTGGGTGCTTTGGGCAGGTCAAGTCAGTCATGTTCAGCTTTGCCTGTGTTTCTATTCTGCATGTCAACTTTTCACAGGTAGGCAGAGAACGACCCTAAAGTCTGGTAGATATATCGCTCCAAATCTCATTGTTTTTCTTCTGTTCAATTACTTACTAGAGCAGAGAAGAGCAGAACCAACTTACAGGAAGAATTGAAACTCCTTCTGGACGGCTGTGTTAAGCTGTTCTCCACACTATGGCCTGTCATCCGAGAATTAGCAAGTCTCTCTTGGGCCATGTGGTCTTCTCCACCAAAGCTCTTCGACAGCTCCTAGCAGACCTTCTTGTTGAAATCCTAGTGCTGAAAATGAACACACCCTAATTGCCAACCTACATGTTCTTTTCACCTCCAACAAGACTAAGCTACACTAAAGTAAAGTACTTCACAAGACTAGGACCCTGTCCTGGAGCTATCTCAGGAAAAAGGCAACCATTTGAGGAATTGTGACTGAATCCATGATATAGGATGTCTCATTTTCATTTTATTTATTGTATTGTACAACAAAATGTAACTCTATGGGGTTGGTTTTTTTTTTTAAGCTTTAGCATGCTATTTCTTGAGTTCAAGACTTCTCTATGTAAAGGTAATAACAAACCATACTATACCTGTAAAGGACACATTTGGAGAAAATTCATTCTATCAATTGATAGGTTTGGATAATATCAGATTTTTAAGCAATGAATTCAGAGGCCATTTCTGAGGAAATTAAAAATCCCCCCCCCCAGTTTTTTAAACAACCCAATATATATTTATAGCACCTATTTTTGAGTTCTGTATTCAAAGCATATCCTGCATGAAGTGCTTCTGATCAAATAAGTCGTGATAAGGACCAATTAAAATGTAGAAAGTACATACTATTTCTCCACCTTTACATACAGTATTTCATAGTTTACAAGACACTTTGTCATGATCTCATCTGATCCTCACAGTCACAATGTGAAGTAGACAAGGGAGGTGGGCTTCCCCCCATTTTACAAATGAGGACACTGAGACTAAGGAGAGAGGTGAAGAGATTTGTCCCAGCTCACACAGCCAGTGGGTATCAGCAGTGGGTCTGGACCCAGGTTGCTGCTCTCCCCTCTAGCATTCTCTCTTTCTTCCTCACTCGACTCTGAAAACAGTACCTGAAAGAGTGATGAGGTTGGCCTGACACCTGGCTGGTAATGTAATTTTTTATTTTAAGGAAGACGCTTTTTCTGTATTTCTTGGAGTTATTTGAAGCTTTTAGCCTCTGTTGGTCAGATTGTCACACCAGTGTCTGCGATGCAGCCTGGCCTATGGCAAGAACAGAGTGCTTATGTTGGAAAGTTACACTTCCTTATAGCCATACAGGATCCAGAATCAGTACCATTCCTAGAGTCAACCTGGGGTTACATTATAGGTGCCTTATTTCCCTAAGTGTAATTGTGTCCAGTATCTGCAAATAGGATGGCTCTATTTTCCATCTTTCGTTTTATAAAGAGAAGGACTTTTCAAAAGAAACTGATCCCAAGAAGGGAGAAAAGACAAGATAAGGGAAGAAATGGCTAATTACCATATAAAAACTCTTATTTTGGGATCCCATCCAAAGGAATTCTGGGATGGACCTGAAACCCTGGAGAGGCAATAGTTCTGGACAGTATAGCATGATAGCTGGAGAGGAAATAGACTGGCAACCCACGTGCTGTTTTGAAGATCACTGATATTTAATTCTCAGCACTTGATTCTGGTTTTCTGAGAATATAGGCATGCATGGTCAGACTACAGGATAGGATGGAGAGTTTTCAGTAAAAAATCTTGCCATAGAGCCTCCCTGGTGGCGCAAGAGGTTAAGTCTCAGCACTATTAAGCTACTGTCAGCCACTGCAGCACAAGTTCAATCCCTGGGCAGGGAGCTGACCCACATGGCACAGCAGACCTCTCCTGTCTCACCTACTGCTCCCCTCAGCAGTATATTTCAGTAGATCTACCTGTTCTCTTCCCCACTCTGTCTCTGATGGATCCTCTCACCCCTACATCTTCAGCCTACAGCCCAGCTCTTGTATGCATAAATAAATTAAATAAATCTTAAAAAAAAAATCTTGCCATCCCTGCAAGTCCAATAGTGTATGTCCCTCACAATGGCAAATACCCTCTGCTTTTTGCAGAAATAAGAGAGTTCAGAAATAGAGCTCCATGGTGGATGACTATCAAATCCACTACTCTGATCTTTGTTACCTATCTATGCTAATTAGTTTTACCATCTTGAGTATTAAAAAGGGAAAAGCCTTCTGAGCAAGAATTTCTTGTACTATAGCATAAAAAAAGGTGTTAGGTCTAGACATTCCTTGGAAATAGCAGTTCCTATCCCTTTTAAAACCTGATTTTGGTTTTTTCTGTTCCACGTATACCTTTAGAGAGCACAATCAATTGCAAAACACTGTGCCAAATACTATAGGGATGTGTGTGTGTGTGTGTGTGTGTGTGTATTTAGGTATTGTGAAAAATGGTCTGTGAAGGTATTTTTCATGTGATACTACACAAACACATTTGAAAACCTCCACCTCAGCAGTGCGGGGAAGTTACATTTTCCTGGGAAAAGGAGTTTCAAAACACCTGGTCAAAGTGGCTTTTCTCTTCCAGAGAGTCACTGTTCAGCCTGGGTCACTGCTCTGCTCACTGTAAGGTTCAAGTGTCTGAGGTCCTTATTTCCTGATAGACTCTTGGGTATCGAGCAATGAAGATTATTCGTAATAGCCTTTGATTATAGATCTGAGTGAGAGAGTGGTGGGTGTACTTGGCAATTTCTGGGCTCGCTGATCAGATCTTCAGCAGCCTTGTCTGAGCCCCAGGTTGTAGGACAGAGTCCCATTACTGAACCAGACTGTGATAGATATCCATTATCAAAGTTTTCTGGCATCTGTTAGGTGCCATCTGATAAAGTCATTACTGCTTTGAATCACAAAATTGGAGCCCAGACACCATACTCTTTATTGCTGAACTCAAGTTCAGAAACGACCCTTTGTTTTAGACCAAGGTGGTTCTTCATCCCAAGCATTTATTTGGGCCATTCCCCCGTAGTTTGGAGTTCTGGGAAAGAACCTTGAAAACTTTATTGATTCTGCACCTTTAGATCTGGAGCGACCATTTGGGCTAAGCCCCAGTGGGCAATTCTTTATTGTGGTTTGCATTTCCTGGGATTTATTGAAGTAAGAATTGACTGTGATTGTGCTGTCTTCTAGCCAGTGTCATGCAGCTCTGCTTTTTATTTGGTTAATTAATTTTCTCTGAAATGGGGAAAAGAGACTCAATTTAATCTCTGCCTCCACAGACATATTAAAGTTCATGTGTTAATTCATTTTTATACTTCTACATCAAATGCCTTGGGCAAATGGATAAATGGACGTGTGCTCAGCTTTAATTTTTGTGCAACAGAAAGGTCAGAATTCTCGTATGGATTTCAGTGGCCCTCTGGGTGTTTCTTAAATCTAAATGAATGTTGCCTTTAATTTTCCCTGTTTTTATGGGCATGTGGTTCATGCACATGAAATCAGGAAGCATTATAGTTGAAGTAAGAGTGTTGTCCAGTTCCTTTGTCTTCCTGAGCCTTGTACTTTATCTCATGTCAGTGTTTACATTACAAACATACTGTATTTTCTGTGAAAGAAAAAGTTAAATAAATCTTGGCGGTTTGATTTTCCTTTTCTTAAAGTGACACCTTCTTTTGCTTTTAAACATTTGGTGGAAACTGGAGGAGCTCAACTCCTCCCATCATCCCCAGTCTGTTCAGTATACAGACCTGCCTTCCACAGGCCAAAGAGATCAGAAGAATGTTTATTCTGGAAACTCAAGGACAGCAACTTTAGAAAATCCAGCGTGAGTTTTATTTTACTTGCAGAAAATTAAGCACCAGTAGGAATTAATCAGTGTGTCCACGTTGTGCCTGGGAGTTTCTGGATCCACCTTATGTTCTTGGATTAAGAATCTGTGGGTGTAAGAGTCTAATATTCATAAATATGAATAGTCCTACCAACTACGTGCCCTGCCAGGAAAAGAAATCTCAACTGCAAGATGACTTTGTAGTGATACATTCAATTCAATAATATCAAGTAGTGAGTGATTTTGAAAGCGTTCGGAAAGCTGTCTTGGTTCTCTTGAGCAGTGGAGTTCCGCAGAGATCTGATGTTGAAACAGATTAATAAATTTGATAAATGAAATGAGGGAAATTCAGATAAGGAATATGAGATTACAGAATTGTAGTGACACGGACATCTGGGCATTCCTCTTGTAGCTTCTTAGAACTAGGTTGTGTGAAAAATAAGCAGCCTTTAAACTACTGAATATGAGCCTTTAAAAAAATTTTAGGTGCCGGGCCTCCCTGGTGGCGCAGCGATTGAGCGCTGGGTTGCGAAGCTGCCTGCAGCCTCTGCAGCGCCGGTTCAATCCCCGGCTGCTCCCCGGCCACCTGAGGAGGGTCCCACATGGCGCGCAGACCTCTCCTGCCGCCCGCTGCTCCCCTCAGCAGTGTTCTTCGGTCCTTCTGCCTGCTCTGCTCCCCGCTCTGACTCCGGTGAATTCTCTCACCCTCCCGCGCTTCTGACTGTACCCAGTGCTTGTATAAATAAATAAATAAATCTTTAAAAAAAAAAAAAAATTAGGTGCCTCCCCTGGTGGCGCAGCGGTTGAGCGCTGGGCTGCGAAGCTGCCCGCAGGCTCTGCAGCGCCGGTTCGATCCCCGGCCACCCCACTGGTGAGGGTCCCACATGGCACAACAGACCTCTCCTGCCGTGCCCGCTGCTCCCCTCAGCAGTGTATTTCGACAGTCTGCCTGTTCTATTTCCCACTCTGGCTCTGGTGAATTCTCTCGCCCTCCCGCGCTTCTGACTGTACCCAGTGCTTGTATAAATAAATAAATAAATCTTAAAAAAAAATTTTTTTTAAGCAAATATTAAGGTATCTGCATGAAGTACCTTAAAGTACTAGGGTTTTTTTTGTTTGTTTGTTTGTTTGGCTTGGGCTTTACTTCTAGTTTCTGGGTTTGTCATTTCATACCTGGAGATAAAAAGTATAAACCAAAATGGGGCCTCCCTGGTGGTGCAAGGGGTTAAGACACAGCACTATGAAGCAATCTGCAGCCACTGCAGCACAAGTTCCAAAGGCCCACATGGCACAGCAGACCTCTCCTGCCCTGCCCGCTGCTCCCCTCAGCATTGTATTTCAGTCAATTAGCCTGTTCTGTTCCCCACTCTGTCTCTGGTGAATCCTCTCACCCCCGCATCTCTGGCCTGCACCCCAGCTCTTGTATGCATGAATAAATAAAATCATAAAAAAAAGTATAAACAAAAGTGATTCTTGATGGTTCCAATAGCCAAAAGTTTATGTGAATTAAGGCAAACTTCTGATAAGGTATTTTCATCAGCCTGTTTCTGTGGGTTCCTGCCAATACTGCTTTATGAGGGTTCTGTTTGACCTTGATTTGCCTGCAGAACCAGCATTTGGCAATTCGGGCCTTTGGCCTGTAATTTGTCATTTTAACTCTCAGGTCCTAAGTTGCCAAGTGAGAAGGGTGTGCTTCTTGATCTGTTTGCTGGTTGCATCAGCAGCACCTGGCTCAATGCTGGAGAATGGGTAGCTGTAGAGCAGTGATTCTTAGTTCTCAGCAAAACTGTATGAGAGAAGCACTGGGGACCCTTTTAAAAACACTTCTATTGGATGAACCCCCATGAATTCAGACTTAGTGGCCTGTAAAAACTCCCTGGGTGACTTTGCTAATATCCACTGCTGTTGATATTAAAGGCTAGAAGGCAAATAGTTGCACCAAAGATCAAGGATAATTCAATCAGTAAAATATTTGGTGTCTTTTTCCAGTGATGACCCTGGCTACCCAGACCTCTGTTTAGGCCTCTTCCCTGCTCCAAACCCTTTTCTCTACTTTTTTCTAGCCTATGACATGACCCGTCCTATCCCCCATTCACTCTAGGTGCTGCTTTCTGGGAAACAATTAACTAATATGGTACAGAAGTACACTAATGGATGTTAATAATTTACTGTAGTTCTCTTTCCATAGAGCCTCTCATCTCAGTACATTTGAATTCCAACACATCTGGAGAGGAATGACTTATTTCAGATCCCTTTGAGTGCCTTTAAAAATTTTAATTAATTAAGTGGGATGAGAAAGTTTGAGCAGGTCGTTCCAAGCTTCAGAAAGAGTACCTGACCTTTAAATTCAGCCTTATTGCTTGGCATTGCTTCGCCTACTCAGATAACCTCTGAGACTGTCTTGAGTAAGAGAATGAAAAACTAAAAATGTGTGTGGGTATGAAGCCCTCTTGCTTAGGATGAGCAGGGAAGCCTGCTCTGTAATTTTTAGATACTTAGCAGTTTATTTGAGACAAGTACAATGAAGAGCTCCCCTTTGTTATTCTGCCACTGTTTTTCTGCAGCTTCGCTGGAGCTGCTGCTCCTCCCTCAGACATAAGAGCAAAGGTTAATCTTATTTTGAGAGAAGTGACCTGAAATATGTTCACTCAACCCACAAGAAAATACCCTGCATCATTCATGAGTTAGTCTTGCTTCTTTCTGGTTTCCCTGTTAATATGTCTCTAAGCCTTCCCAGGATTTCCTGTAATGTGCCCCCCACCCCCACCCCTATTTTTCCTTGCCAGTGAAATATTTGTGGGTCTATGTAGACTAGGAGGCTAGTGTTTTAATACTACATTATGAAAGAATCTGAATGACATTTTAAAAGCTCAGCCCTTTCTCCTTGCCTATAGCTGTATTCACTGTGATTACTCAAGATAATCCAAAACGAGCTTCAAACTTGTAATCTGCTGCCATGTTTTTTGTTGTGTTCTTGTTGCACTCCCAAGCATTTTTGAAAACTTGAAAACCTTGTCTGCTGTACCATCCTTCGTGTCCAGCAGAGGGCAGCCTATTCTCACTAAAAATTTCAGAGTTCTGTTTTTCTCCAGGAACTTAGTTTCAGCATTGACTTGTTTTCTTAGTGTCAAAATTCCAGTGTAATTTGAATTCTAAGTTGCATTTCTTTAGAATATGTGTTCCTACATTGCATTCTTATATTTCTATCATTGCAAAAATTTCTGGAGGAAAACCATGCCCATCACTTCTGCCCAATAGCGATTGCCTACAGGGTAGGTGACCCACAGGTCAAGTCTCAGATCATTTCAGTTTTGTTCGGCGTTACCTTGGTTGTACTTACAGGTAATAAAAGATATGTGTTCACTTAAGAGGGGAAAACAACTACTTTCAGAGGTAATTATCAGCCACTTGCTCATTGTCAAGATTTCAAACATGAGCAAACCACATCATATACAGTCTTAATTTTGCCTTTGCAACATCAAAGGCAAACCAAAGGGTATGTGAATCTTCAGGGTCTCACCCTTCCCTGCCATCAGATGCCAACATATTATTCACAGCACAGTTCAAGGAAAGGTAATGGCATTTAGCAGGGACCCAGCCCCAGTGAAGTGAAAGGCCTTAGAATACCTTTGATTGCTCCTCCCATAGGTCATGGGGTAAAAAGCAAACATTTGCAGAAGAAAGTGGAATTTGCATTTGAAAAGTCTGAGAACCGACAAGTTCAACTCTTTGATGTAGAAGGAGATTCCCTTCTTTTTTTTTTTTTAATTTTATTTTTATATTCCCCATACAATTGCAACCCCCTTATTTTGACCCCAATCCCTCCTTTCCCTGCCCCCCCAACCCCCATAGAGTGTCTCTGGTTCATAGTTGTTTGTTGATTTTGATTTTCACTTTCTTATAGTTATTCATTTTCCTGGTCCCTTATTTAAGTTTTCTAGATTCCTGCTATGAGTGAGACCATCCGGTATTTTTCTTTTTCTTTCTGGCTTATTTCGCTGAGCATGATTCCTTCCAGCGCCATCCATGTTGCTGCAAATTGCATGTATTTGAGATTCCCTTCTTATGTGTGTAATACCTGAGAGAGACTGGCGTTTGAGCTCAATCTTAGAGAGCGACCTGGGAAATACTTTGGGGCTTGGGTGGTTTTTTTTGTTTTTTTTGGTTTTTAATATTTATTGGTTTTTGCTTTTTGTTTTTACACCCTCTAAATAGATTTGCTCTCTGGAGGAATCTTAGGTATATTAACTGATGTTTATCAAGCATTTGCTATATGTCAGGAATGTTTGGAATTGCTTCTTTCTCACACATTCCATACAACCTTAATGAAGTCAATCACTGTTACTATCCTCCTTTTAAAGATGGGGAAACAAATGTTCAGACATAGTAAATGCCTTGCCCAAGATAGAACGTTGCAGATCTGGGATTCAAAACCCAATCTAACTCTCTTCTTTTAAACATGACCTTAGACTCCCTATTTCATGACCTCTTCGAAGTTCACAGCCCTTAACTTCCTTTTTTGGATGTTATGTTGAAGTTAGATGGGAGAGATAAGAATGGGATCCAGGCATAGTTCTTACACTTTTTTTTTTTAAACACCTTCTTTATCTGCTTCAACTAACCATAGCTGAGAGATTGTCCTAATCAGCCTGCAGATAATACATTCAGTCTTTGTAGGGACTTTTCTAGAACACTGTGGGCCTGCAGCTAATTTTAATCACCCAGATCAGAAAGGGAGCTGATTTCCTTAAGTCCTAGAAGTGAGTGGAAATTCCCGTTTCTGATTACAGTCCCAGATGGATTTCTGCTGAGATGTGAGTAGTGCCCAGGGGGTCTCAGCACTAGTCCTTTCTTCCTCCTATGGCCTTCCTCCTAAAGGTACTCCTGGGCAGATGAGAAAAGGAAGTGAAAAAGAAGTCTACCTTCAAGGGACACCACAGGGAAAAGTTTTCAGGGAACCAAGAATATTTTAAGTAATCCTTGCTGTGGCTAAGTCAACCCTCTGTCTAGTTGAACCCTGGGGACAGTGTGCCTGGTTGCTGAAAAATATTGCCTATAATGAGTGGGT